GTCTCTCTCGCCCGATTCCCTAACGCAGCCTTCGCCTCGGGCAACCGGTGGTTGGCACACCACAACCCCTAAGCCTCGTTAGCAAAGATCACGGCTACGTCTCTTCATCCCGACAAGGGAAATCACTTGCCGCCTCACATTCAGTATCGTCTGATACACTGCGGTTACCTCTCTTCACGCTGACAAAAATGCCCATCCCTCGTCGTCGTCGCCTTTCCTCTTCTTGCTCTTCAAATGGATGTCGTCAGTGCTGGTGCGGCAACAACGCCGACTACGACGTCTACGGAGAAGCAACGTGCGATATGGGGTGCACTGGTGATTCCTCTGATATCTGCGGAGGCTTCAACGCCATGTCGGTACGTACGCGTGCAGCTGACCACTGCTTGTCTCAGAAATTCGGTGTTTGTCTTGGCCCTGTGCCGCACGTACACGACGATGTGTATTTACACTCCCGGGCTGGCGAGCGCGAATAGCTTGCGATGTAGTTGTAGGGTTAGGGTACTCGGGGGAGGCCTAGCGCCGTGGTGTAGTCTGAGGGCTGGAAACCTGCTAGTGGCTTTGGGTTCGTGTCTACCTCCCTCCAAGCGTTTGAACTAGCGAGTGCAAGGAAGTCGCCAGGTTTGAGGTACATACGCGCGTCCACACGTACACACAGCGTCAGGAGGGCTTCTGTACTGCTAGGTACTGCTGCAGCGCCGGCTATGAACAGGGTGATTAGCGCCCCATCTGCTTGACTCTCTTGTGTGAGGACGTCAGTAGTACGTAGCAGACGTGAGCGTCCGCGTCCCAAATCATGGTTGGCAGAGAATGGACTCCACCGCTGCAGTAGGCGACAGAATCGAAATCAGGGGTCACCAGCACCTACCGGAAGAGTGTTAGCGAGCAACTCCGAAACAAGGAGTGATTCGAAATTTCGTGAGGCGTGCTGTGTCGGACAAATTGGACTACGTAGCGTACCTATCAACAGCAGGGAAGGGTCTCGTGTGGGATTGGTGTGCCGTTTGGAGGAGACGCCCTCCCTATACGTTCGTCGTCCTTGCGGTCCTTCAGTTTGGGTCCGCACCTAAGAACCTCTAGTTTCGACCGAGGCTGATGTTCTTGGTCCCTGCAGGGTTACGCGATGAATGACGCTATT